CATCACACATACCCTTTCTGAGTTGGAGCAGACTCTGAATTAGCAGGGCATGAATTGACAATGCTGTGGGGACTTCATCCTACCTTATGATTTTGCCAAGAAGACGTGAGAAGTTTGGCCTTCCATAAACCCATTCCTTTTACCTGGCAAGGCACTATCCCAAGCCCTGCCAGCTCATTCAACTGACACCAGAGTAAATCAGCTCTGTTCTTATTTTTAAGAAGCTTTCCTTTATAGTCTCATCTTCCAGACACCTAAAAATAGGTCCTCTTTTCCCTTGATCCATGTGCTTCCCTTATTTAACACAACCCTCAACATCAAGAACAGCTTGGCTTCCTTCCTTTCTTAGCAAAAAAAACAAAAACAAAACAAAAAGTCTCTGCCTTTCACGAATAATATGACTTTTGTAAAATACTTCACAAAGATCAACTATGAGTATGTAAGTTCAGTAAAGGTAGCACAGCACCAAACCAGGTGTCAAGAGACACAGTTTAATCACAGCTCTGTCTCCAACCTACTTGATGAATGTGGACAAGTCATGTCAGGCTGGATCTTTGCCATATTGTCTTTGAAATGCAGAGCTGTGTTATATGTGAACTCTACTATATGAGTTGATCCTGAGGTTCTCAAACTGTATCACAAAGCTTGAAGCTATACTTCTTGAGGATCCAGATCTCAAACTCTCTCATTATGTTCCTGGTGAGGACACTGGGATCCTCAGCTTGGACCACATCAATAGATTTCTGTGTTGTTTACTTGTTTCCACTCTTACATTGCTACAATTAACTCTCCACATAGGGTTATGGAGTGATGTCCATGAACACAAATCAGGTTACATCCCTTTCTTGTATAAGCACTCTGAGTATTTCCCATTGATCTTTTAACAGAATCTTTTAACAGAAACACCTACTAGGCTCGACTCGCCCCTTACCAACATCACCAACCTCATCTCTCACCACTGTCCCAGATTGGTGACCAGCAAGGAAACAGGAACCTCAGTCTTCAAATCACATGTAATTAAATTCCTCTAGCAACCTGAATTGCCTAGGAAGTGGATTGTTACCCAAGAGACTCAGTAAGAAAACACAGATCTGATGACACCTGGAACTTGGCATTATAAGCCCTTACGCAGAGCCTACTACACTTTTTGTGAGACCCAGCCAAACCAAACTGGACTGACAGGAATGTAAGATAATGAATTTGTGTTTTTGAAGGCCACTAATGAGATAATAAATTTTTACAGCAGCAATAGAAAACTAACCTAACAAGATACAGAGCTCATCTGTAAAGACTCCAATGAAGAAAGAGATCTCAAATCTCCTTCTATCTATTGTAACTGTTTCTCCTTCCTTAGAACATATCATTCTATCTCGAAGTAACATAAATCCTAAAACTCAAATAACTCATGGCTCTGGATGAAATCTCACCTGACATCACTGACCCGCCATTATGCATAGAAATGTGGAAGTCAGGCTCTATGTGAAGCAGGTTGGTTCCCCTGCAGTGTTGTGATCCAGTCTTTGTGACACACTTAAAGATGATAAGGATAGTGCAGAGCATGCTCAACACAGAAAAGAGCCTGTAAATGATAAAATACCAGGAATGTGGAGTTATTTTGCAAAGAGAAGGGGGCTCAGGGGAGACAAACGTCTGCAGGGCCTCAGGGGGGTAAAGAAACAGACTTCTTTTAGTACCAGAGAAGAGAAATTAAACTAATGGGAGCATATTCTAGACAGCTTACTGTCAAGGAAAAAAGTGCTAACCATAAAAGGTGTTCAGGACTGCCTTTTGGAGTACTTAAATTTAGGATGTTGTACTTGAAGAGCACAACCAAATTGACGGAAATTAGAACACTGCAGAATCTCTGTCTAACATGTCCACGTTAGCCATGACTACACCAAGGCCCAGAGAGTAAGACTTATCATCTGACTTTTAAAGTTATTATGAAATTCTGTTTAAATTATTCTTCTTGTACAAAAGCCATAAAATTATCTCAATGTATACCAAAAAAGCATTTAACACAATTTGACATTCTTTTATGATAATAACTTTCAAGAAACTAGGTGTAGAAGGAAAATAGCTCAATGCAATAAAAGCCATATACAAGAAACCCAAAGCTAGTATCGCATTCAATTATAAAAAGTGGAAAGCTTTTCCTGTAAAATCAGAAATACAAGGTAGGAAAATTAAGTTCAAAAACTCATCCTAGAATAAGTGCTGCATGTCTCATTGCTGAATATCACCATGGTCACTTTCAAAGTACCCCCTTTGGCCATCTGGTGACTGTGGTGATGTTAATCAATGAGGTATGTAGCACTTTTTCTAGGATAAGTTCATGAACTTAATTGTTAGACTTTTCTATAATGATAGCTCTGACAGTCATTCCAGAAAAAGAGTTCCAAAATTGCTTTGAAGGGTAAAAGCAGTGCTGGTGCCATTGCATAGCTTCCGAAGTGGAGTACCTTAGAGGTGATGGTAGTGGTATTCAACAACAAGGTATATAGTACTTTTTCTAGGACAAGTTTGCAAACTTAATTGTCCAACCTCATGTAACAAGGATGCCCACTTTTGCCACATCTGTTCAATATAATATTAGAATTCCTAGCTAAAATGATAAGGCAAGAGGAAGAATTAAAGCCATCCTAATTGGACACAAAGAAGTCAAATTGTCCGTGTATGCATACAACCCTAAACTAAACCCTAAACCTCTTTACAATAGATCCAAACTGTACCCCCCCCCAAAGACTTAGAAATTAATTTAGCCAAATAAGTAAAAGACCCCAAAACTATAAAACATAGATAAAAGAAATCAAAGAAGACACAAATAAATGATAATATATTTCATGTTTAAGATTTGAAGAATTAATTTGTGAAATTACTCATATAACCTAAAGGAATCTACAGATTTAATGCAAATCCTACCAAAATGCCAATGACATTTTTCACAAAAATTTTTAAAAATCCTAAAATTCATATATAATTGCAAAAGATCCTGAATAGACAAAGCAATTTTGAGCAAAAAATAACAAAGTTGGATTCATCACCCTACCTGACTTCAAAATATACTGCAAAACTATTTACAAAGCAAAACAGCGTGGTATTGGCCTGAAAAGAAACACATAGAACAGCGTAGAACAGAATAAAGCCCCAGAAATAAATCCACACATCTAAGGTCAATTGATTTTCAACAAAGATACCAGAAATATGCAATGAGGAAAGGATAGTCTCTTCAATAAAAAATATTGGGATAACTGGATATTCACATACAGAAGAATGAAATTATTCTTATCTCATATCAACTCAAAATGGACTAAAGACTTAAATATAAGACCTGAAACTGTAAAGCTGCTATCAGAAAAAACTCAGGAAAGGGTCTGCAACATTGTTCTGGGCAATGATATTTCTGTATATAAACCCCAAAGCATAGTCAACAAAAATAAAAATAGACAAATAGGATATATCAAACTAAAAAGCTTCTAAACACTCAAGGAAACTATCAATAGAATGAAGAGATAACCTATTGAGTGGGAAAAAATATCTGCAAACCATACCTCAAATAAAGAGTTAATATGTAAATATGTAAAAATATGTAAGGAACTCAGGCAGCTCAATAGTAAAAAATAATAATTATAACCCAATTTTAAAATGGGCTGAATATACAAATTATACTTTTCAAATGAAGACATATAAATGCTTGACTGGTATATGAAAAATGTTCAGTATTATTAATCATTAGGGGAATGCAAATTAAAACCACATGGTGAGACACTACCACTCACCTGTTAAAATGACTACTTTAAAGAAAATAAAAGATAACACTTATCGGAGAGGCTGTGGAGAAAAGGCATCACCTTACATACTTTTCTTGAGAATGTAAATTAGTATAACCATTAAGAAAAACAGTTTGAGGGTTCCTCAAAAAATTAAACTGGAACTACCATATGATCCAGCAACCCACTTCTGGATGTGTATCCAAAGGAAACAAAACTACTATGGTGAAGAGTTATCTGCACTGCTGTGTTCATTGCAGCATTAGTCACAAAAGCCAAGAGATCGAATCAACCTAAGTGTTCACTCATAGATGAATGGACATAGAATATATGGTAACATGGGCAATGGGATAATATTCAGCTTCAGAAAAAAGAAGGAAATACTGTAATTTCTAATAATATAGATGATCCCAGAAGACATTATGTTAAGCAAAATAATCCAGGCACAGAAAAACAAATACTGCATGATCTCATTTACACGTAGAATCTAAAAAGGTTGAACTCATAGAAATAGAGAACAGAATAATGGTTACCAGGGGCTTGGAGATGAGAGTGGTCTTGGGGAGATGTTGATCAAAGGATACAAAATTTCGGTTAAAAGGAGTAAGTTCAAGAGATCTATTGTAAGCCATGGTCACTATAGTTAATAAAAAGGCAGTATATCCTGCACGATAGATTTTAAGATTTTTCACAACCAAACTGATAAGTGAGGTAATGTCTTGATTTAACCATTTACAGTGTACATATGTTTCAAAGCAATATGTTGTGCATGACAAATATATACAAATTCTATTTGTCAAGTTAAATAAAGAAAAATAAATAAACTATTCCCCTTGTATGGGATTACCAAAGACTCATGGGAAAGAATATCTAAGAATATTTTGTAGCATTTCAGGAATTGCAAGACCTTCCTCTTCCCATTTCTCCCTAATTCATACTCTGATCCTATTTTTCTCTAATTTCAACTTGGGTTTTATGTTACTCCTGCTGTTCATATGCTGAAAAAACATCAAGGATTGTCAGTTTTCATCTGAGTTTCCAAATGAAAATTGTTCAGACTTTAGATTCACCTTTCCTTGGCATTGTGTCTTAAAAGGGGATTTGTACAACAATATATGAATACAATCAAGATATTCAAATCTCGTTTTGTCTACTGAGAACATTTGAACATTATTCATTCATTTGTAAAAATCATTAGTTTCTTCCCTACTAAATATAAGTATTACAGACATGAGTAAAATAACATCCACACCCTCGTATGCAAATGACATGAGAAAAGACTGCTACACCACACTGTGTCATCAGTGCCTCAATGAAGGACTCATTAAGGTGAAGCTGAAGAGAGTAGAGAGTGCAGAGCCCTATGCAGAAAAGGACCAGGTGTGCTCCATGTACACGTGGATTGTTTCACAGGGAGTTCAGGGATAGATGGACACAGCAGATCAGACTGGGAAGTCTGGCCATATTAAGGAATTATATTTTACTCTGAAATTAATGCACATTACAGATATAATAAAAGAAGATAAAAGAAATGCTGATATGTCATGTTTAGGAAAAAGAATTTGATACAATGAGGAAGACACAGTTCCCATAATCCCCTATAGCAATACTCAATGTTACATTGCAATAAAAATTATTCTTCTCATTACAGTATGTCCAGTGGGCTCCTTGTTTGACTACATAATGTTATCTACTAATCTTTGTTTTCAAAGAATATCTATGTGTGTGTGTGTGTATCTATGATGATACTTTTTAGAAGTTTCTGTATTATCTGTACATCCATATTCATAGCAAAAGATGGAAACAACTCAAGTGTCCATCACTGGATGAATGGATAAACAAAATGTAGTGTATATATACACAGTGGAATATTATTCAGCCTTATGATCATTCAGAGAAAAGAAGTTCTGAGCCATGGCCACAACACTGATAGACTTTGAGGACTTTATGCTCAGTGAAATCAGCCAGTCATTAAAAAAAAAAAAAAAAAAAAAGCAAACACTATATGGTTCCATTAATGTGAGGTACCTAGAATAGTTAAACTCATAGAAACAGAAAATAGAATAGTGATAGTCAAAGGATGGGGAGAGGGAATAGGGACTTAGTATTTAATGGGTATGGAGTTTCAGTTGAGGAAGATGAAAAAGAGGAAATTGGATAGTCGTTATGGTTGCACGATGACTATGTACTGACTGCCAGAGAACTGTCTATTTTACACTACACACTCACACACACACATATATATGTAGTACATGAAAATTACAAACAAGAGGCACGGCTTAAATCCAGTGGTGTCAGAGTCCTGGGCTAACACTCTGAACAATCCAGCTTGTCAGTGATTATGTGGTCCCTGTCTTCATTCTCCCCTCGTCTGGATTCCTTCCCAGCTTCATTTCTCCCCTTAAAATGTGATAGATTTGTCCTCTTCTGGCCATATAAAACAGACCATTCCACTGCTCAGCAAAACTAAAATGACAAGGGAGTTTCTGAGATCATTTCATACATCTCACATCTTTATTTGTACCAAGAGACAAACCTGGGCCAACTCTTGTCCATTTTGTTCTGCTGAATCAGGAAAATTCCATGTCTCTTAGAGTGTGTGGTCATACTAATAGGTCCTCAGGTAGAGAGACAACCTGCCAGAAGTGCGTTTGTCTCTTCCCATCTCCTTCATATTTGGCATGAGACCAGAAGTCTAGATATTTGCAAAGAAATGGAAATGTAACACCTGCAAACAGAGCCAGCCCAAAGGCTGAAGTTGACCACTCTTTCTTTTTTCTTTTAGATTATTCTTGGATTTTTAAATTTTTTTAAAATTTTATTTCAGGTTATTATGGTGACCACGCTTAATCTGCTTGCTGTAGAGTAGGACCTAGGGGACCTAGTGCCTGCTGAGATGGCAGGTGCTCTGCAAACAGGTCCCGTGACCTCTCTCTCTCTCTCTCTCTCTCTCTCTCTGCATTCGGGGTCCTGTTTGGTCTTGCCTGAAAGGCCCCAACTGTCTCTGCCACAGCTGCTATGTGATGCACTAGGGACAAGGAAACGGAGGAGAAGAGCAAGGTGGCTGACTAGAGACATCACTTGCTGGACTGTCCCAGAGGGAAGGAAGGGTTTCAGAAAAAGGAAAGTGGAGATAGGATGCAGCTCAGGTGTAGGTAAGAGAGAGAATTGCTGGAGCCCACTGGGGACCTCACAGAGGAACACTGTGAAGAAGGAAAAAAAAAGAATAAAGGAAAAAAGATCAGCAAGGATCAAACCCCAAAGAGGCTCGGAGCCCAGGGAAGGAGTAAAGAGGATGCCTTTTCTCCCTCCCATACTCCTTCGGTGATTAGCAGGCTACCAAGTTACTTGGAAGTTTTTCTACCTCAACAAACCCAAGCACTTCAGTGACACTAGAATTGTGAAGAAAGCTTGGGTGATCCCAGAGCTTGGACGTTCTGTTCAAAGTTTCCATCAAAGAAGAATGATCTGAGTTCCCTATGCACTGCAACCGGGAAAGCAATTTAGCTGAGAATTTGATGAATAGCTGCCCCTCCCCCGTCGGCATACTTTCCAGTCTGAGATTTCCGCAGAGATGGGGGTCTATGCCTTCCCTCTTGAAGACCTGCAGTGGACCCACGGAGCCAACTCTGGGAACTCCCTGTCTGCTGGCCTTTCTCAGAGATGCACATCAGCTGATCAGACACACAGGCCAGATCTCATACTCCAGGACTTGAGTGAGTTGCTGGGGACACAGGTAGGAGGTTTGGGAGTTGTATTCAAGAGGCAAGGGAGCCTACCCAGGTGGAACTGAGGAGAGAATACTGTGGTGGTACGAGTCACAGTGATTTGGGGGAAATACCATAACTCCCCACAGGAAAGCCAAGCTGTCAAACTAGAATGGGTCCTCTAGCAGGGAAGATGCTGGCAACTGGGTGTGACATGTTCAGGTGTGCCCACTTGCCGGCAGAACCAGAGGGCAGTGGTAAAACAAGAGGGGAAGAGCTCACACCCTATAGCCAGTTAGGGAATTGTGGCCCCTTCCTCATAAGCAGCCTTCCTGATCTACAGGGCCTGCCTTGACTCTTCCTCTACTGTCTCCCCCTAGTGGCCTGGAAAATAACCTCTGAGTCCTGCTGGGGCTTTGTAAGAAAGCCTTCCTTTGTAAGGAAGCCCAGCCTCACTCCTCTAGTTTTCTCTGCTGTGGTGGAGATCAATCAACCCCCTGGGAGCTACAAGCCTTCTCCCAATGCCTGGGGCATTCAAGTTTCCATCCACCTGAGGAACTAGAGCTAATCAAAGGCACAGAAGAACATTGTGACAATTGATGTTTTCTTGAAAGCGTCAAACACTGACAGGGAGAACAACTCTATAGCTCATTACAGCATCTACCAATCAAACAGGGTGTGGTTGATTCTTACTTGCAAGCTTCATCCACCATCTCAGAGATTAATGTGGGGGTCCCAGTACAATTCACACTGCTTGAAAGAAATGAAGACAGTAGGGTAGAAGCAACCCAACGAGACATTGCTTTTTAGGAGAGAAACAAAAGTTATAGGCAACTCAATCTGTGTAGGGTCTCCCTCCTCCACTCCAAACTTCTGACCTGATCAGGAAGCTGCTCAGAGTCTGTGCAGAGACACTCTACCAGAGAACAGGTGCAGCGGAAATTGGTTCCTGCCAGTCCCAGGGTTCTGCAACTGATGCTATTCTGATTTCTGTGGTGCATGGAGACAAGTATGCTCAGGACCCAGCCTTTGAGCAGTAGCCTTTGCATCACCCCTGCCAGGCTGCAGAGGGAACAGATTCCTCCTTCCTGTCATATCCTGGGCCTGGAGGCTAAGCCCACCACCTCCCAGGTGGGAGCTAAACAGAGAAGGAGCCACAGCACAACAGGTCCTACTTGGAAAGCCTGTGGTGACTGCTGTGTTGGATTGTAAGTATGAGTGGAGAACCATGGCTGACCAGCAGCTCCAGCCTCCCTACAAACTCTGGGCTGCTGAGGCAAACCCCTGCCTGTGCAACGGGGCATCAGCAGTCCTCCCCCTCATCTGAGCAGCTCTGTCCCCTCAATTCCCAGAGCTGACTCAGAACCTCTTGCTGTGCTCAAGTCCAAGGCTATGCCCCTGAATGTCTATGGCCTCCATACGGCTTATAACTCCACTCCTGAGATTCCAGAGTTGTGCTTGGACCCCAAGACCTCACATGCCAAGCTCACATCTGCTGAGCTGACAGAACTGCCTCAATGTCCAGCACTTCACTCAGGACCTCTCCCCCATCCCTGAGCATCTATTACTTCTGCACTTGATTCAAAAAAGTGCCCAGCAAGGAAGAATAGATGCTCTGTGATCCTAAAAGATCACAAGGTTAAAGATGAGGAGCTAGATAAAAAGTTCCCTGGCAACATGAAAAAACAAAATAGCTCAACACCCCCAAGGGAATACAGTGGAAGTCTAATAATGGATTCGACCCACAAGAAAATTGCTGAAGTGACAGAAATGAAATTCAAAATATGGATGACAAAAAAGAGGAATAGAATTGAAGAGAAAATTGACAACCAACCAAAAGAAGACCCCCCCCCAATTTTAGGAAATCAAAAATGAAAACATCACTAGAGAGCTAGACAACACAAGAAAGGATATAACAGAACTTAAGGAAATGAAAGAGTCATTTAGGTAATTCCAAAACAGCAGAAAGCTTTAATCACAGGCTAACCCAAGGAAAATAAATTATCTCAGAGCTTGAAGACAAGGGTCTCAAGATAAGCCAGTCATTCAAATAGGCAAAGAAGAGTATAAAGATGTCTGAGCAATCACCGAGAGAGATTTAAGATTTTGTGACACCAACTAACATTTGAATTGTAGATATCCCTGAGGGAGAAGAATATAGGGCTAAAAACATGGAAAACTTATTTGAGGAAAACTTTCCTGGTATCACCAGAAATTCAGACATACAGATACAAAATAGATGCCAAACACCAGAAAGACTCATCTCCAAGGCATATTAGCAATCAATCTGGCCAAAGTCAGGGTGAAAGAGCAAATTATGCAAGCAGTAATATAAAAACATCAGATAACTATAAAAGAAAACTCATCAGGCTAACTGCAGGCTTCTCAGCTCCAACTTTAAAAGACAAAAGAGATTGGAACCTCATCTTTAATAAACTTAAACAGAACAACTGCCAGCCTAGAATTTTGTATCCTACAAAACTAAGTTTCACAACTGACAGAGAAATTAAGTGTTTTCCATACAAGCAAACACAGAGGAAATTTTCCATGACAAGACCTGTCCTGCATGAAATATTCACAACACCACTACATGTACCTAAATCAGCACAACAGATTCCCACAAGCATAAATCCACCTAAACCCGCCACCACAATTCATAACTTCTATAAAACAATAGAACATGA